GACGTAGGGGTCGGAGTAGCCGTTGGCGTCCATGGCGGCCAGGTGGGCGCAGCGGATGATGCCCACCAGCAGCCCCTGCTTCTGCGAGCTGTATTTGAGGGAGATGAGGATCCGGCCGCGCTCCTCCAGCGACTTGTCCTCTGTTTTATCTATCTGGGGGAGGGAATGCACCCAGTCTGGGGGCTGCTCCAGGATACAGCCACGGCCGGACACCCACGTCCCCAGCACAAGGGATGCTGTCCCCATCCCTGAGCACCTCGGAGGGGTCAAACGGCCCCATGCTCCCGTTGCCGCGGGGAGAAGCTGCTGTATCTGGGGTCCCCTGGTGGGGGATGCTGCTCTGAACCCCCCCACTCACCGGCAGCTGCTTCTCCAGGCAGATGTTGAAGTTTTTGGTCTGGTTGGGCTTCAGTTTTTTCAGTGGGATTCGCGTCTCCCCAATGAACTCGTTGTGGCGGAACTTGTCCTCGTCACAGACCGAGATCCTGCAATGAATACAAGGGCTGTCAGGGAGAGGGGAGGCGATGGCACGAGGGAAGGGGCTGCCCCGTCCCTTTGCACGTCCCCGCAGTGATGGGACAACTTCAATGCCACTGTCCCTCAGGCCAGGGACTGGGCACCTCCTTCGCAGGCAGCTGGAGGGCATGAAACTGCTGCTACAGCATGGTGAGGGCAGTCCATTTAAAAAGGCGACACCCAATATCTTCGTCTGCTTTACCTCTGCAGCCGAGACCCAAGGTTACTGGGATGGAGGCCGGGCCAGGTCTGGGAAACAGAGAGATGCAGGAGGTGGAGGCTGCGCTGCACCACATCTCCCAGCTCCATCACATCACCACCCACGCGGAGCTACCTGCACGCCACGGCCACCGTGGCCACCTCCCCTGCTCACCTCTCCCGCACCCCTGGCTGCCCGGTCTGGGACACGGAGGGGGTCCTCCAGCTCCTCTCCCACCTCACAGACAAGACCAGGAGGGATTTGCAGACCCAGCCTGGGAAAGACATCACACCTCGGTCACACGACACTGTCCCAGCCCCAGCCGGGGTCCTGAGCGGGGTCCCAGGATGCACCCCGTGACGGCAGCCCGCATCCGAGGGCAGTGACGGCGATGCCGAGCGAAGGCTGCTCTCCATGCGAAAGCTATAAATGCCTTTCCCTGAGCTGGCAGCTAATGAGTCATTTCTCTGCCGCTTCCCAGCCCGCTCCGGGCGTCAGGAGAGACGGCAGAAGAGCAAAGTTAGCGCTTGCAGGGAGCGTCCACTCGCAGCTCCTGAAATCCCAGAAAGGGGGCTGGGAGGGGGCAGGCCAGGAACCTGCTGTCCCCAGGACAGGGAAAGCCCCACCAGAGCCATGCAGGGACTGGCTGGGATCCCTGGCCATAAAGGAAAGGCGCTTCCCTTCCCTTCTCTCCCCTCTTTTCTTAAATTTTTCCTACAGTGTCGTCTTGTCCTTTTGCTGTCTGACTTTTTCCCTCTTTCATCCACTCCCGTTGGTGCCCGTTTCTTGCTGGGTTTCAACAAACAGGACCTATGCAGGAGGGGGTAAAAGTAATTACAGATAAACAGTGCCTTGTGATCCCACCTCAGAGTAACTAATTGCACACCATGCCTCTGGCCTGGGCTGTGCCTGGACGGTTTATCCGACGAAGCTGGGCGAGTGGGTGGTTTATCCGTGGGTGGTTTATCCATGGGTGGTTTGACCACCCTCGTGCTCAGAAGTGAATAAGAACCCAGTGAGGGAGCTGCACAGGATGGCTCAGCCACACGGCACAAGGATGGTCAGGGCTGGGGAGCAGCCAAGGGAGGGGTTTTGGGAGGAAAAAAAAAATAACACAAGCAGGAAGATGGGGAATGGTGCTCTCCAGAAAAACGTAGCTGGATGCAGCGTTACTATAGATACCCACAAAAAACCCCCACCCCACCCGCAACAGTAAAATCCTCAAAGAGAAGCTGAAATGCAGGCACAATATTTCCTATTTCCCTTCCTCCTCTCACCTCTCTTGTAAAGCACAAAACCGAAAAAGGAGCAGCAGCAGCTCCAGACAAGACGCGGCACTTGCCAGGCATGCACAACCCAACATCCATCTGGCCAAAGCTCTGGGGAGGGAACGCGAGCGCGTGGTGACGAAAGCCGGGGGGACGCGGAGGGGAGCGTGGCCCTCACCGGGAGCTGATAGCCGGGGGGGGCTATTTTTACACCCGGCAATTGTGGAGCGGTGCCG